TGCCCCATTTTCTTTTCATAGAGCAAAAGCCAAAAGAAATAATTTTAACAAGGAAATGTAATGATTAAATTACAGAAATCAGCAAGAAACAACAAGACTAGCATAATATCAATATTGTTTTTACTTCTCTTAATAGAGTAGCCCCTAGTTAACAGGGAGGAGTCGGGTGTCTTTCTATATGATCATACCAATTGCAGAAAAAAAAAAAACAGACAAATTTTCTTTCATGCATGAAAAGTAACATAGATCTATAAGTAAATATCTAAAGCAACAAGATAACTAACAGTCAGCTTTTATTCTGAAAAAGCTTTTGAGAGGAGGTATCAAAGGGGTCAGGCAGGAAGGGAACATCAAGCACTCACCTCCCTTAGGTGTGTTCTGCCCCGCAGCAAACTGCAGCCACAGACCAAGAGAAAGCAGAGTCTTGGCCAACATATCAAAAGCAGGTCCCGGGCAAACTACCTTAAATCCAGAAGCTTGACGCTGTGAAGGCAGATGAAAGGCTTAAGATCAGTCATATTACATACGAGGATCCACCAGATCCCAGAGTGGCACTTCTGTGCTGCTCACGCCTTGTGATCCGACCGCCTCCTTATGTGTTTTGCTGGGCTGTGGTGGAGTCTCTGGCTCCTGAAGGCAATTTTCCTCCCTCCAATCCCGCCCCCCTTTTCAAGTCATAAATCCATCCTGACGGGAGTAGCCAGAGGAGAGGCACGAGGAGTACCCGGCTGCTGCTCCCCAGGAGCGCGGATTCAGCTGCAGGCAGCCCGAATGCAGCTGCGCTGGGTTAGGAAAATAGATCCCTATAGAGGAAACGTCGGCCCTGCAAGACGCTGGCAGCGGTCCAGCTGCGAGGGAAGGAAGCAAAAATAAATATACAAACAGATAAACCCCAACCTTCTCCCCCTCTCTTCTGGAATGAGCTAGGAGGAGAGAGGAAAACGTGTGCATATAGGAATGGAAAAGTAGAGAGGACAGAGCCCGTGCCCTGCCCTGGCATTATTGGCTGATCCTTTGGGAGGAGGCAGGCAGAGCGTTCCCGGTCCCGGCGCTGCTCCGGCTCCCGCTCCCTGCCCCTTGGCTGCCCAGGGCCCGGAGCCAAATCCCGAACGGAGCGACGCAGCGGCCGCCGGCTTTACCCTGCGGAAGAGCCGGGGCAGAAGTCAGCAGGAGCAGAGACCGCGGGAAGGCAAGCGCCGTCGAGGAGGAAGCGTCGGCCGCATGGAGAAGAGCACGAAATAGCGTCTCTGGTCCTAAAGCAGCCTGCTAAATACCCCCCATTACCTCACTTCAGCTGCAGAGTTAAATACGGTCTCAAGCCTGTGTCTAGGCCTTGAGTCAAGGAGCTGCGTGCCTAAAGATAAGTCTGTGACAGATATCTTACTGGATAGAGGGGGAGATTGCATAGACCAAAGACCTCAGGTTTAACTTTCATGGTCATGCAGTTGCTGTTCATCTCCCCATACACAGGCAAAAGGGAGCATTTTGCTCAAGAACTAAGAACTGACCCAATCTGGTGTCCTTTCTCATGTCTTCCCTGCTGTCTATGTCTCCACTCTTGATTCCAGCTCATCAGCTGTGTGTCACATCACCAGGTGTGACAAAAATCCCTTTCTTTCCTTCAACTTCTTGGTCCTTGTTACCTGTGTCTGCACGAGTTCTATGGGTTTAGTTGTGCCATCCTGATTGCAACTACAGCCCCAGCTACAGTACGGCATTTTCCAACACATGGTCCCAAGCTGTTCCTCTCTTGAATTCTTACCACAGTATACATGGACAGTATTTTTCAAGGAAATTTACAAAAAGCAGACATTTAGCTAATTCCTATAGCCAAAAGTGTGAAGAAAATTATTGCATGTGCTACTTCTGAACAGATCTGAGACATTATTCATATAGAGAAGATGGAAAGTTACAGCTAATCATGAAGAAAGCAGTTGATTCTCATCTCATTTAATAAGGGGAGTGACCAACCAGAGAGGGCAAAAAATAGCCCAGGAGGAAAGTTTAGACATCTGTGGGATTTCTTTAACTGGTGAGCAATACTGCCCTGACTTGATTTTGTCACTCCTGAGCGCTGCATGAAATGAGCAGGAATTATGTGCCAAGAGGCTGTGCAGGTTGGAAAGAAATTTGTATCCAAACCAATCAAGCAGGAGGAAAGTCAGGACAAGCCCAGAAATCATATCCAATTGAGAAACCAGAGTCAGATAGTTAATTAAACTCTGGGGCTGAACAGACACTTGTTTGGGCTTCTCCTCCCAATTCCATTGGAGGTGGATGAGGGGGGTTTGGGATCCAAAGAGCTTTGCAATCAGGCTGTATGAGTCCTCAGCCCATGTATAGTAACTGTATACGAGTGAATCAGCCTCACCCACTGACTGATTCATCCAGGCTGGAATAAGCATTAACCTGGAACTCGGAAGAGTAAGGGCATCCGCTCTCACACCTACACCCTGGGCCTTGTGAGACCCCCTCCAAGATGGTATTTGGGTCCTGGTGGCAATAGACATCATGGCAAAGTGCTGCTTGTAGCCAGTTCTCCTGAGGCAGGGAGCCAGGCTTCTCAATGGGACGTCCTCCCAAAATCAGGGGGTCTGGATCTGGGCCACGATGTCTGCCCATAGGCAAGCGGGACTTGACTGCTGCCTCTGGAAGTTAAGGGCATCCTTTTGCAGTGACTCAGTGTGGTTTGGGCCCTTTCCAGGGAGCCGTGCTTACTTCCCAGCACTCGCAGTGCAGGTGCTCTAGCGAGGGAGCTGACAGCCTGCAGTCCCTTCGGCTGGCAAGGGAAGAACACACAGCAGAGCAAATCACATGGAGTGGTGCCCTCCTGCTTCCCTAGCTCCTCCGGCTGCCTGGTCCTCTTGGTCCTACTATCAATGCTGATGGAACCTCTGGTGCAGGCTGTGGAATCAATACCCTCTCCAAATCCCTGATCCCAGGCTGCTGCAGCCCCTTCTTTCCCTCTGCAGAGGTGGACTCAAGCTTAGCCTGGTTTGTGCATTGACCATCCCCTTGCTCAAATGCCCAAAGACCTGTTCACAGAACACAAGTGCAAAATTAATAGGCTAGAAATACCAGTCCCCTGGGATCACAGGGACAGGTTGAGATCCCCCCCAACAAAGGCCAGTGGGAATATGGGGAAGACCTTATTCCATTCCCCACTTCCCAAGCAACTCTTTTTACGGAAATATTGCTCATCCTAGAATAACTTCCCTTTTTTGTCAATTTATTGATGTAAATACCATTCAGTCTTGCCCCCTAGAGAGATTCCAGCCTTTATCTTCCCAGAAACCCCTCCAGAGTATGGACAAGCAGGAAAAAACAGTCTGGAAAATAATTAGATCTTACACAATTTCATTTTATTTTTAAACTTAGTGTAGTGGCCAAATCCTGTTTCCAGTAAGACTAATACATGCACATACTGATCCTTTCCCGCTTGATGTATCCTATCCCTGCACTCTGAAGCTAGCAGAGCTGCTCCAGCTTTGCTCCTGTTTTAGCATTTTCAGGATCCAGCTGCAGACATCAGCTCAGTGCCAGCTGCTATCACTGGTAATCTTGGGTCCTCCGGCTGTCATCACCTTGACCAAAATTTACTCACATCTTTGTGCCACTCAAAGCAGTTCAGGAGCAATAAATGATCAAAATTATATACTGTTTGATTGTGATATTACTGAGTGCTAGCTATCAGAAGTGGCCCCATTTCAGTGCTTCACGAGGCAGCTCCTCAATGTTGAATCCAGATACGCATCCATACATTTGTGCAGCACAGGCCAGTTCTGCATACGGGAAGGCTTCATGGTGCACTACAGCTGCCATGGCATTCAGAACATAAAAACTACATGCAATTTCTGGGCAGATGCAATCTCCTCTGAGACAAATTATCACAGCTGGAACAAACAGGCTTTTGGAGACACAGCCTCCTTCAGCTCTGCACAAAAGCTTTTGTTTAAAGGAGTTTACACACGGGAATTTAGGAATTCCCCACTTGGAAGCAGAGCACAGCAGCTCTGAGCAGACGGTAGCAGCTCCCCTTGAACCGTAGGGGAGTTTGTGCAGCCCAGCACACGCGGGCAGGTCCCTGCAGTGCCAGAAACCCAACGTGGCTGCGCGTGCAGTGCTCAGCTGCAAGGCAGGACTCCTAGCAGCTGCTCCCGAGCCAGCACAGCTCTGGTTTGGGGGCATCAGGAAGCAACCAACTCACCAGCATCACCCACAGCTGCCTCGGGCTCTCCTGCAAACACCAACCACCCCAGAGCCCCGTGCTGTGTTGTGCCCAGCACTAACAACTGCAGGCTCCATTCTTGGAGATGGTGAACCTGAAACTCCACCGAGCCCAGAAAAGGCATTCTGACTTACAACAGAAAGGATCTGCCCCTGCATTTCGAGTTCTCAGTTAACAGTGGGTCAGCTCAAGCCAGCAGAGCAGCCTCTCAGCTCAAGTTGGCTCTTATTTTTGCTTTTGTAGTGCAGGAGCTTGTCTGCAAAGCACGCAGAAGCATTGCACTAATGAAAAAATCAGAAGTTAGATAAAAATGCAACCACCCATATTGGGCTGGTACCAGGACATGGGGAGAGTCTGTTTCCCATCACAAATATCAAGGTACTGGCTATGAAGCTAAAGATTCCCAGAAAGAGAGCCTGGTCACATCCATGAATAGAAAAGGACTCTTAGAAACATCACCCTGTGTGAGCACTCGTGCTACTTCCCTCTATCCTCATACCGTGCCAGAACAGAGTTCCTGTTCTCTCCCAGGGGCATTTGCTCAGCCTATTTGGAAACACAGCAACATTTCAAAATGAAGGAATTTATTGAGAACACACAGGTAGCCCCAGGCACATCGTCTGGAACTAGAGTGGCTCTTGGAGACATTTCTAAGTAGCAGGAGACCTGGATGCAGCTATTTTTACCAAAGGCTGCTCTCTGGACTGTATCATTTCCCCTATTGCATGACTGTCTTCCCCTATCTCCATCCTGTTAGGAAAACCCAGACAATATGGGGAAAGCCAAATTTAAGAAAGCCTCCTCAGAAGTAGGGTTTCCTGAGTAATTTCCAGCCACAAAAGGAAATTGCAGCTTCTTTTGAACTGCAAGTTCCCCGGTAGTTCAAAAATTGCAGCCTCTTGAGGGGTCAGCTTGGGAGGGAGAAGTCTGTTTAAAGCAGCAGGTTTAAACCATCATTACAGACTGACACCCCTGCAGGAAGGTCCAACTCACATAGAACAGCTGACCCGAACCAGAGCAAAATGCTACCTAGTTTTGGCTCCAATAGTAGCTGCATAAGGAAAGACTATTAGGGCAGCAGTCTTCCCCCATGAGGTTTAAGCTTTCAGCAATTTTCTTTCCTTACAGAAAAGGCAGCACCTGGATACAGCAAACAGAATTGATTCAGGGCTGGGCTCTGGATACAGCTCATGGAGTTCTTGTGTTCTGTACTGATATTTCAAAGCCAAAGCAGCTGGACCATGTTGAAAACAAGCTCTCCGCTACAACAGCTGTGGGTCTGATGCCATATACCAGTTTATGTAGCAGGTTTATAGTAGACAGGCCCGTATTATTCAGCTTGAACTCACCTATGGAAAGAAAAAGATCCAAAACAAGCAGAAAGTCTTGCTGGAATCTAAGAGCAACGAGGGAAAAGGAGAAGAAAACTTCCTACCACCAGGAAGTTGTTCATGGTGGGGAGTAGGGCACGGAACAAGAAGGAAAGCCTAGACCCAAGGG